CCAAGAAGAGGTAGCACAGGTCTGTACACCCAGCACTTAGGGACTTGAGAGGCTGAGGCAGGAGGGTCAAGAGTTCAAGGCCATGAGAGAGTAAGACCCAGCCTCAAAAAATCAAAAAGAAATGTGGTGGCCCCACGCCTTTAGTCCCAGCACTTGGGCAGCAGAGGCAGGTGGATCTCTGTGAGTTCAAAGCCAGTCTGGTCTACATAGTGAGTTCCAGGCCAGGGAGAACTACATAGTGAGGCCCTATCTAAACAAAGAAAGGAAACCAAGAGGGGAGGAGGGGGAGAGGGAGGGTAAGAATACTCTAAGTCTCGGGGCATTCTGAGGACAGCAAGCTCTGCTCCTCAAAGCCAGGAGGCCTCTTTCTGACATTCTGTGGGCTGCTCTATTCCCCCGTGTTCTCCCTCCAGTGGAGTCCGCTGTCAGCCCTAAGCCTGCCAAGCGAGACCACTTTGGCAAGACCAGGAATCCCCAAGCCTCACAAGGCGCCTTGTCCTTGCTGCTCCACCCAGCCCCAGGGCCGCACCTGCTGCAGTGACTCCCCAGTCCTCTTCCCTCCTCCCTCCCTGACCTGCCTCCCTGCCCTCCACCCACCTGAACCCCACCAGTGTACCCTCCAGCTGTTACTGTGGCTTCCCTATGACGGACTTCCCACTCTGGCCGGGGTGTAGACAACAGGAAAGGCTCTGTTTCTGTGTGGGAAGGGGACAGATGAGAAGTTTCTGTGATGTCTTTTGCTGTGGACCTAAAACTGCTGAAATAAGTAATCCCTAAAAAATAAATCCCTGGGCTGGAGGGATGGCTGGATAATTAGGAGTCACATGGGGGCTCACAACAGCCTGAAACTCCAGTTCCTGGGGATCTGATGCCCTCTTCTGGCCAAAGAGGGCACTGCATGCACATGATGCACATAAACACATGCAGGCAGACCCTCATACACACAAAATTAAAATACATGACTCACTCAATAAATGACTCAGTAAATAACTCAATAACTCCATAAATAACTCAATAAATAATTCAACAAATAACTCAATAACTCAATAATAAATAGATACATAATCAGTCAATCAATCAATCCTGCTGGGGTATGGCACACACCTTTAATCCTAGCATGCTGGAGGTACAGGCAGGTAGAGGTGTGTGACTATGAGCCAGACCCTGTCTCAAAACTAATTAGGCTGGAGAGATGCTCAGCAGTTCTTAACAGGCTGCTCTTGCAGAGGACCTGGGTTCGAATCCCAGCAGCTACATGGTGGCTAACAACCCTCCATAACTCCAGTTCCAAGGGGTCCAACGCCCTCTTCTGACCTTTGTGGGCATTGCATGACACAGATGTGCTTACACACATGCAGAAACGCACTCATACACTTAAAAATAACAAACCAGCTAAATCGGGCTGGGCGTGGTCGTGCACGCCTTTAATCCCAGCACTTGGGAGGCAGAGGCAGGTGGATCTCTGTGAGATCAAGGCCAGCCTGGTCTACATAGTGAGTTCCAGCTGGGGCTACAGGGAGACATTGTCTCAAAAAGACCAAAAAAAAACCCAGCTAAGTCACTCCATATATCCATCATTCATCCATCATACATCCATCTATCATACATCCATCCATCATACATCCATCTATCATCCATCATCCATCCATCCATCCATCATCCATCCATGCATCCATCATCCATCCATCCATCCATCATCCATCCAGCCATTATCCATCCAACCATCCATCATCCATCCATCATCCATCCATCCATCCATCCATCATCCATCCATCCATCCATCATCCATCCATGCATCCATCATCCATCCATCCATCCATCATCCATCCAGCCATCATCCATCCAACCATCCATCATCCATCCATCATCCATCCATCATCCATCCATCCATCCATCCATCATCCATCCAGCCATCATCCATCCATCCATCCATCCATCATCCATCCACCCATCATCCATCCAACCATCCATCCATCATCCATCCACCCACCCACCCATCCATCCATCCATCATCTTATAATCATTTACAAAGCAATTTTCTGGGTGTTACAGGTGATCTATCCAACCATCAATCATCCATCCATCCATCATCCATCCATCCATCCATCATCCACCCACCCATCCATCCATTCATCATCCATCCAACCATCAATCATCCATCCATCCATCCACCCATCCATCATCCATCAATCATCCATCCATCATCCATCCATCATCCATCCAGCCAACATCCATCCATCCATCATCCATCCAACCATCATCCATCCACCCACCCACCCATCCATCCATCCATCATCCATCCAACCATATCCATCTATCAGCCATCCATCTACCAGCAATCCATCAAATCATCCATTAGCCATCCATCATCCATCCATCCATCCATCATCCATCCATCCATCCATCCGTCGTCCATCCACCCACCCATCCATCCATCCATCCATCATCCATCCATCCATCCATCCATCATCCATCCAGCCATCATCCATCCATCATCCATCCATCCATCATCCATCCAACCATCCATCCATCATCCATCCACCCATCCATCATCCATCCATCAATCATCCATCCATCCATCATCCATCATCCATCCAGCCAACATCCATCCATCCATCATCCATCAATCATCCATCCATCATCCATCCATCCAGCCATCATCCATCCATCCATCCATCAATCATCCATCCATCCATCATCCATCCACCCACCCACCCATCCATCCATCCATCATCCATCCAACCATCATCCATCCATCCATCATCCATCCAGCCATCATCTATCCATCCATCATCCATCAATCATCCATCCATCATCCATCCATCATCCACCCACCCATCCATCCATCCATCATCCATCCAGCCATCATCCATCCATCCATCCATCAATCATCCATCCATCATCCATCCAACCATCATCCATCCACCCACCCACCCATCCATCCATCCATCCACCCATCCATCATCCATCAATCATCCAACCATCATCCATCCATCATCCACCCATCCATCATCCATCCATCATCCACCCATCAATCCACCCATCCATCAATCCATCCATCCATCATCCATCCACCCACCCACCCATCCATCCATCCATCCACCCATCCATCATCCATCAATCCATCCATCCATCATCCATCCACCCACCCATCCATCCATCCATCCATCATCCATCCAACCATCATCCATCCAGCCATCATCCATCATCCATCATCCATCAATCATCCATCCATCATCCATCCATCATGCACCCACCCATCCATCCATCCATCCATCAATCATCCATCCATCATCCACCCACCCATCCATCCATCCAACCATCATCCATCCACCCACCCACCCATCCAGCCAGCCATCATCCATCCATCCATCCATCCACCCATCCATCATCCATCAATCATCCAACCATCATCCATCCATCATCCACCCATCCATCATCCATCCATCATCCACCCATCAATCCACCCATCCATCAATCCATCCATCCATCATCCATCCACCCACCCACCCATCCATCCATCATCCATCCAACCATCAATCATCCATCCATCATCCATCCATCCATCCATCATCCATCCATCCATCCATCATCCATCCATCCATCCATCATCCATCCATCCATCCATCATCCATCCATCCATCCATCATCCATCCATCCATCCATCATCCATCCATCCATCCATCATCCATCCATCCATCCATCATCCATCCATCCATCCATCATCCATCCATCCATCCATCATCCATCCATCCATCCATCATCCATCCATCCATCCATCATCCATCCATCCATCCATCATCCATCCATCCATCCATCATCCATCCATCCACCCATCCATCATCCATCCATCATCCATCCATCATCCACCCATCAATCCATCCATCATCCATCCATCATCCATCCAGCCATCCATCCATCATCCATCCATCCATCATCCACCAATCCATCCATCATCCATCAATCCATCCATCCACCCATCCATCCATCATCCATCCAACCATCCATCATCCATCCATCCATCATCCATCCATCCATCCATCATCCATCCATCCATCAATCATCCATCCATCATCCATCCACCCACCCACCCATCCATCCATCCATCATCCATCCAACCATCATCCATCCACCCACCCACCCATCCATCCAATCCATCATCCATCCAGCCATCATCCATCCATCCATCAATCATCCATCCATCATCCATCCACCCATCTATCATCCATCCATCCATCCATCATCCATCCAACCATCCATCATCCATCCATCCATCAATCATCCATACATCATCCATCCAACCATCCATCCATCATCCCTCCACCCACCCACCCATCCATCCACCCATCCATCCATCATTCATCAATCATCCATCCATCATCCATCCAACCATCCATCATCCATCCATCCATCATCCATCCATCCATCATCCATCCATCATCCATCCAACCATCCATCCATCATCCATCAATCATCCATCCGTCATCCATCATCCATCCATCCATCCATCATCCATCATCCACCCATCCATCATCCATCAATATCCATCCATCCACCCACCCATCCACCCGTCATCCATCCATCCATCAATCATCCATCCATCATCCATCCATCCATCCATCATCCATCCATCATCCATCCATCCATCATCCACCCATCCATCCATCCTATACCAAATGGATGGGCCTGGCCACTAGCAGGAGGGAATACAGACTGCCAAGTAACTAACTGACACACGGAATCAGTGAGGACGCGGCCATGAGGAGGGGCCGGGTGGGGTGCTGGACTTCGCTTGCTCGGAACTCAGCACTCAGGGCAGTAAACAACTAGTGCAGGAAACAACTGCTGCAGTGTAGACCCAGCCAGCCCGGGTCTGACAAGCGGCGGCCGCGATCTCCGAACTCCCGCTAGAGGCACCCGCGAGCCCAGCGCCAGAACCGCGCTCCTCCTGCGCACGCGCACTTCGGCCAGCTCCGCGGGCCCGCCCTCCGTGGTGCGCAGGCGCGGTGGGAGCGCAGGCGTGTGGCGTCACGAGCGCGCCAGGTCGGGCGCGGAAGAAGTCGCGCTGTTACGTGTGGCCATGGCGGCGCCGGCGGGTAAGCGGCGCTGTGGGGACGACGCGGGAGATGGGAAGCGAGGCCAGGGCAAGGCGTCGAGGTCCGGGGGCGGGCGGGGCGGTCAGGACCGGCCCTCACACAGTGGGGCCGCGGGCCGTGGGCCCAGGGCGGTCAGGACCGGCCCTCACACAGTGGGGCCGTCGGACGTGCGCCCAGGGCGGTCAGGACCGGCCCTCACACAGTGGGGCCGTCGGACGTGCGCCCAGGGCGGTCAGGACCGGCCCTCACTCAGTGGGGCCGTCGGACGTGCGCTCAAGGCGCTCAGGACCGGCCCTCACACAGTGGGGCCAGCCCCACACAGTAGGACTGCACAGTTAGTGGGGCTGAGGGAGCAGCTCAGCTGGGGCAGTGGCCCAGCCTGCGCCCCCCAGCACCGATGTTAAATGGCAGATGTGTTGGCCGCGAGCAAAGGTTGAGAAGCAGCTAGTGGCCCAGTTTGGGGTCCACCGTGTGAACTCTGGTGCCCTGTACCCAAAGGACAGCCGCGTTGGGACAACAGGCTGGGGTATGGCTGGGCGACATTGCGCTTGTTTAGCATGGTAACCCTGGGCCTGATTCCCCTGCACCACAAAATAAACAGAAGACCCCCTCATGGCCAGACCTGGTGGTGGCCAGACCTGGTGGGGCAGGCCAAGGCAGGAGGCCTGCAGGTTCGAGACCAGACACGGACTGAGGTCAGGGCCAGTCTGGGCAGCGAAGGGAGACGCTGTGGCTTGGTGATGAGGGCTGGAGCGGAGCTCCGTGGTAGAGTGCTTGCCTGGTGTGTGGGAGGCCCTGAGTTCTGTCCCCAGCCCGGCAGAATAGACAGCTGTGTGTCCGAGTGCTGCCATTTCCAGAAAGGAAGGGGGCCTGAGTCGGGCTGTCAGCTTCTGGGGGTTTGGAGGGAAGACACTGGTTTCTGTCGGCCTGGGGATAGACTTGCTACCTTAGCTAGTCTGGTGTGGTCACAAACTCCAGGGCGCATGGCAGACCTGTGGTCTGTAGCCGCAGGTGCAGAGGGATTCCTCCTTACCACTGTCCTTTGTTGACACAGGTGCCTCCAAGCAGGACATCCGTGAACGCATTTGGAACTACATGGAGTCACATGATTTAGCTGACTTTCCCCGTCCTGTCCATCACAGGATTCCCAACTTCAAGGTACAGAACCTGGGTACTCTCAGTGTCGGGGTTCTGCTGTATCCTGATGGGCTTGAACTTGGGGGCACAGTCAGCAGAGACGGAGGTGGTGTGGAGGGGTCTTTGCCTTTCGACACATCTGCTTGCTCAGTCCTCATCAGGCCACAGCCCGTCTCTCAGGGCCAGCTGTCATCTATGACAGGCAGAGGGACAGCCCTGCAGGGGTTGCCACCTGTGTGTGTCCCACAGCCCCATGTGGAGGTGCTCCGGGAGGAAGCCTGGCCCCTGTTGTCCAGGGAAACAGTACACGGCTTGTCTGGCTCTGGGCCTCAGTTTCCCACCTGGTCAGAATAGAAGTCAGCCCCGGGCATCGGCTGATGAAAATTCTCCCGGGGAAGGTTTGCTAGAAAGGGACAGGGTAAGCCAAGTGGTCATCCCAGCACTGGGGAGGAGGGGGCAGGAATTCAAGGTCACGTGACCCTCGGTTACATTGTGAGTTTGGCTGCTCTACTTGAGACCCTGTCTTGGGGGGAGGGGGGACAGCATAACATGGTTTGTGGTCTTTGTTTTCTTTAAGAAAATTGAAGGGTTTTGTGAGGGCACACAGGTCTTGCCACTCAGCACCGGCTCTGCCTGGACTTGCTCCCAGGCTGGCCTGGCTTGGTCCTTGGCTGAGCTGGTGCTGGCCTCCTGGGCCCCTCAAGACCAACCCTTCTTTGGTCTTTGTTATTTCTGTGCTTTTTCTTCCAACTTGCTGCCCTAGAGAGGGAAGTGGTCATTCGGCACCAGGAAGAGGGGACCGAGGCTCAGACCCATCAATGCTCTTCAAGATGGGTCAGGCAGGCCAGGGTCAGGGCTTACCTGAGCTCCGCTATTTTGTGGAAATCCCCCAAATTCTGCACTCAGAATTTGTACTCTTTTTTTATATAGACTTTTATTCTAGTGAAAACTGATTACCGGGTTAGCCCCTTTCCATCAGCACTTTCTGAGAGTCCATGGGTGAGCCTGGACTCCCGTACTAGAAACTGCTCAGGCTGCCATCCCTGTGGTTGCCGGGTTGTGGTGCTCAGGCGGCACTTGGCCCTGTCCTCAGAATTACACGCAGTCGCAGTGACACGAAGTCACGTCTATACAGGGTGCCTCTCAGGCTGCGGAGCACCTGTCTCACCTGCAGGCGTTCAGCAAGGCCAGAACCGTTAAAGTAAATCCCGACGCTCCCCAGAGAAACGCCCGCTTTCTGGTGCTTGAGGTGAGTGGGGCACTGTCTTTGCCTGATAGGGGTCTTACGTGGCTTGTCAAAGCATCAGACACCTGGAAGTCTTTGCCGGGACACGGGAAGTAAAGGTGGACCCCGATAAGCCCCTGGAAGGCGTGCGGCTGCTGGCGCTGCAGGTAACCCCACTTTCCTGAGCTGCCTCAGTCCCAAAGGCCTGAGCACCTAGTGCATGTGGTTACCTGGGTGTGACTAGCTCAGAACCTGACAGTGGACGGAGTTGTGACTCCAGAGCCCTTTGCCAGCTGTGCTCTCAGGAGCAGTTAGAGGTTTGTTGGCTGCTTGCGTATCGCCAGGCTGGTGGTTCTGATCAAAGTGGCAGCTAGGCCAGGGCTATGAGTTGCTTTTTTTTTTCCATACATTCATGGCATTATAATTCCTTAAAATACAAAATTCCTTAGTAAGAAATCTGGTGTATGTGTCCCCAAATACAAGCTTAAATTTCTCAGCATCGATGTGTGGGTACTTCTCAAAGAAAAGAATTCCCCGGAATTTAAATTTATTACCACTTGGGGCTGGAGAGATGGCTCAGCAGTTAAGAGTACCGACTGTTCTTACAGAGGACCCAGGTTTGAGTCCCAGCACCTACATGGCGGCTATGAACCATCCTTAACTCCAGTACCAGGGAATCGGATACCCTCTTCTGACCTCCGTGGCATTGCACGACACGGGTGCACTTACCTGCATGCAGGCAATACCACTTAACCGAGTAGGTGGGAGCCGAGAACTTGATGGATTTCAGTGCTCACAGCTCTAAGCAATTATAACACATAAATGAGCAGGTAAATTGAATACACCACAGCTGACAGGGCGTTGAGTGATGACTGAGCCAAGCCTGCTGCTGCTGTTACTGCTGTCGAGCCTTGGAAGTCAGCCTGGTGCTGCTAGAGGCTGAACTGCCCCGCTCTCCTGTCAGGTCACACTGATAAGGCCTCTGCTATGCGGAGTGCCTTCCACATGGTTCAGTAGCTGAGGAGGATTGGCCTGGGAGACTCCAGGAGGACTCAGGACCCAGGCAGTGAGCCAGTGTGTGAGCTGGGAGTGCCACCTGCCGGGTTTGGACAGCAGAGCCGCTGCCGCAGGGCCTCCTGTGCGGGAACACACCGCTGTGCCGTTGCCCACGGCCCTCCAGTGGCCCCCAGGGAAAGCAGGCGTGAGAGGGAGGCAGCAGCCATCGCAGGCCCAGGGGTGTCGTAGGAAGGTCTGCTGTGGGAGCCTGTGCCCTGCTTCAACTGACTGACCGTCTTCTCCTTCAAAGAACAAAAAGACACTGTTGGTTCCCACACCGCGGCTGAGAACGGGGCTGTTTAACAGGATCACACCACCCCCTGGAGCCACCAAGGATACGCTGAGGAAGTGTGCCACCTCCCAGGTGAGTGCTGGGCACCCCACCCCCCAGGACCGTCCCAAGTTAGAGAGCTGTGGAGTGGAGCAGCGTACAGTGGACACGGAGCCCCGAGCAGCCCTGTTGGAGCAGCCAGCGGTGCTGCCAACAGGGGCCAGGTAGACCCCAGAGTACAGATTCTCCTTCCGTACCTCAGGCCCCGTTTGGCACCAAGCTAGCCAGTTAGAAATTCTTGTTAGAGAGGTGGTGAGGGCTGGACATGGTGGCATACACCTGTAATCCCAGCACTCGGGGAGAGGCAATTCAAGGCCGCCTTGGCCTACATAGCGTGTTCCAGGCCAGCTAGGGCTGTGTAGCGAGCCGTTGAAGGCCAGCATCTGGCATTCTGGCACCCTCGTGTGGTAGTATGGTGCTGTGTGCCTGTGCATCCCACCTGTTGACCTGACGCGCTCCCAATCAGTTATTGGTAACTGCTGACAGACATTTTATTGAAAGACTCGCAGTCTAGTAAAACTAAAATCTGTGACCGTTACATTAAAGCGTGTCAGAGAATTTGAGTTTGTATTTTAGTTAAATAAAACTTGGTGGCTTTTTAAAGGAAACCCTGTGCCATTTGATTCTGTTTTTTTTTTTGTCTTTTTGAAACAGGGTCTCCTGTAGCCCCAGCTGGCCTGGAACTCACTGTGTAGACCAGTCTGGCCTTGAACTCACAGACATCTGCCTTCCTCTCCCCAGTGCTGGGGTTAGAGGCGTGTGCCACCACACCGGGCTTCCTGCCTGCTCCTTACCCGGGTCCCTGTCGTGTGGGTAGAGGAGGATGGAAGGGAAAGGCTGGATTTGCTGCAAACATTTGAAATCAGGCCGCTGGGGCAGGAGGATTGCAGGTTCAAATCTGCCTCAGCTACATAGTGAGACTCTGAGTAAGAACTAGAAAGGACTGGGGGTGGCTTGCTAGGACACCGACTTCCCCAGCGTGTGAGGGCCTGGGTCCCATCCCTACCCTGAAGAAGAAAGGGAAAGAAAAGGGTAAAAGCAAGATAAAGTGGGGCTGGAGAGATGGCCCAGCCGTTCAGAGGACCCAGGTTTGGTTCCCAGAGCCCACATGGAGGCTGCGAACCACCTGTAACTCCAGTTCCCAGGATCCGACACCTTCTGGCCTCAGAGTGCATTGTGTGCGTGGTCCACCTACATAACATGCAGGCGTGACCCTCACACACATAAACGTAAAATTTTTTTAAGCGATAAAATCAGAAATCTCGTCAAAGCCTCCAGATTCACAGCTCAGATGCTCAAAGGTAGGGATGCTATTTCCATGGCCACGGGGGGAAAGGCTCAAAGCTCTGCAGGGTTGGTGCCTTAGGAGAGCACTGTGGTGTGTCCCAGCAAGGAGACCCCTGCCAGGTCTGTGACCTAAGTGTCAGGCAAGCTCCACCCTGTGACCCACTGCGGCTGAACACTGGGGGATGGTCCCACTGCTCACACAGCTGCAGCCCCGATTCTTTCTGTGCAGGCTTCTGGTGGTCAGGATCAGCAGTACAGATGGAGGCATGGTCACACACTGGGTGCTGACCTACTGTGTCTAGCATCAGGTCTGGAGGGAGGATCTGGTGTCCCTGTCCTGTTCTGAAGAACCCAGAATAACCCATGATGTAGCCAGGGACCCAGTTCCACGTGGTTCCCACTTAGTGTTCAGTGACTGCCATGACATCCTCTGGCCACCTTCCTGTGAAAGGAATTGTGGGAGATGAACCCTCCCGTCTCCCTTCCTGCCCTGGGTGTGCCGGCCATGTCTGCAAGGTGAGGGGCTGCCTCGGGAACTCAGCCCTGCTTTTCCCATTACAGGGCGTGCGGAACTTCAGCGTCCCTGTGGGCTTGGATGCCAGCGTCCAAGTGGACTTAGTTGTGGTGGGATCTGTTGCCGTGTCTGAGAAAGGTAAGCTGGTGGGCCGCTTGGCGTGGGTGTCCAGAAGCACCTGTTCACTGACTGCTGTCCTCGCTCTGGATGTGCCCGACCCCAGCCACCACCTGCACTGGAGATCTTTCCGTTGCTGTGACCGACTGCCTGGCAAAAAGAGCTTAAGAGGATTTATTTTGGTTTTAGGAGTTTTAGTACCATGGTGGGGAGGACAGTGTACAGTGTGACAGGAGGGGACTGGGATACTGGACCCCCAGGTGGCCCACCTACAAAAGCCACTAGGAATTTCCTTAATTTAGAAATGTATGAAGAAGGAAATTTGTTTTGGGTCTTTTGAGACAGGGTCTCCCTGTACCCCAGGCTGACCTGGAACTTGCTGTGTAAGCCAGGCTGGCCTTGAACTCAGAGATCTGCCTGCCTCAGCCTCCTGAGTGCTGGGACTAAAGGCGTGTACTACTACGCCCAGCAGAAGGAAACTTTTATAACTGTCTCCATTCACTTGCTCGTTTTAAGAATGATGAGATAGCCTAAATAGGATGTTGAGCATCGAGAAACCCAGCCACACAGTTCCTGGTTCCCTTCCCAAGAGGCTTTCGAGAGCACTGAGTGTGGACTCTGTTTCTGTCCCATGCACCTAGCAGGATCTGCTTGGCCACAAGAGGGAGGCCACTCTGAACTCTGCTCTGTGGTTTGATGGGTTGTCTCGAGCTCTTTGTGTCTGGGATGACGAGGGATCACCTGCCTCCTGCACAGCATTGCTTGTGAGTGCTGAAGGCTCTGCTGGTCCATGGTGGGATGGGGAAGTAGAGTTTTGCCCCTGGCCCGGGTGCTGCCTTGGAGACAGTAGCTTAATTCTAGGAGGGGCCTACTGACCCTCCAGGAAGGATGCTGTAATAGAATACTTTTGACAGAGCTGAGCGTGGTGGCCCCTCAGCACTGGGGACCAGAGGCAGGTCGATCTGAGATCGAGGCCAGCCTGGTCTACGTAGTGAGTTCCAGGCCAGCTGGGGTTATGGGGGATCCTGCCTCAAAAAAATCCAAAAACTTTGACAAAAGCATTTGAAGGGAGTTTCTTTCACTCATGGTTCAAGGCGTGGTCTCCATCAGTTTGGGAGTGAAAGGAGCTGGAGCGTGGGGGCAAGTTACGTGACAACACAGTCAAGGACTGTGGCTGGCTGACTTGACCTTTTTGGTGGAATCCAGGACTCCCCTCAATCAGTGATCCCTAGATTGCAGGCCTAGAGTCTGGCTCCAGGTATTGTGGGGGCCTTTCACACTGCTCCAGTTGTTCACCCTGGCTCCCACCTCTCCCTACCCCTGCTGGAGACTGGAATTAACCGGCGTCAGGATTTAGCAGGCTGATAGCCAGTTCTCCTATGTTTTGTTTTTGTAAGACAGGAGTTGCTGTGCATCTCCACTTGCAGTCCTTCTCTTCAGACTCCTGCGCCTGTGTCCATCTCACTCCTGACCCCGCCAAGTACAGGCGTGTGCCCCTGTGCCGTGCATCCCACCTGCCTGTTGACTTGGCATTTGCTGTGAGAACCTCGGGTGTCTGGAGCACACTGCTCGCTGCCTGTCCCAGGAGCCTTCTCGGGCTGTCCGCTGCTCTCTGGCAGCTCTGTCTGTTTTGCTCATTGATGGTTTCTGACAAAGTAATAGAAACAGCCGTGAGTCTTAGAGCCGTGTCTTGGTGCTGTGCTTCCTCCAGGGCAGCGCTGCCGGGGTCCCTGGAGCCTAGGCAGGGAGAGCACAGCTACACACTGGAGCTCCAGGCCTTTACTGTTCGCTCACTGCGGCCGTCCTGGCTGTGGAGGCCTGTGGCGTGAAGCCTGGCCTGCTCAGGGCGCCTGCGCAGGAGCTGCTCAGCAGGCATGCATCCTCCAGCCGTCCCTGACCTGGGACTTTCTCTTCTGAGACAGGTGGATTAAACATGCTTCCCTCTCAATAGTAACCTCAGTGTCTTCACAAACTGACCTTCCTTGATGTCAGTGGTTTAAGGCTTTGATTGATAGGACGGGGGGTTGGCCTTCAGCTCCTCCTTAGCCTCCAAGCGCTGGGGTCTCAGGTCTACATTGTGGCCGGCCACTTGCCGATTTCTGCCACATCTTGCTGAGTGACAGCTACGTGTTCTCTACCCGCCGTGCCTTTGAATGCTGGGTGTCCGTTCTGGGGTGCTGTGGATGGGTGTCAAGTTCCTGTCCTTCCCCCAGACGCCTGATGGGAACCCGCTCTTGCTGTGCCCTGCCTTGTCTCTTAGGCTGGCGAATCGGGAAGGGAGAAGGCTACGCTGACCTTGAATACGCCATGATGGTGTCGATGGGAGCTGTCCACGAGGGGACACCAGTGGTCACCATTGTCCACGATTGCCAGGTGTGTCCTGCAGATGGGGCTGCAGGAGAGCGAGGCAGAGAGGTGTTTGCTCTTGCAGCGGGATGCGAGGGGTGTGATTGGTGGGGCGGGGCTTTTGGGGAGCACAGCAGCTGAGCCAGGTGCACTGAGCGAGTTTGGAGAGCTCTTCTGGCCAGTTGTCCAGGCCCTGCTGGGTCCCACTAAAACCCAAGATAGTCCTCTTACCCCACTTTGTCTACCCAGGTGGTGGACATCCCTGAGATGCTCCTGGAGGACCACGACCTCACCGTTGACTACATCATCACACCTACCAGGGTCATTGCCACAGGCTGTGCAAGGCCAAAACCAGCAGGGATCGTGTGGTCCAAGGTGGGTCATTGCCGAGGCTGGCTGGCCTACTGCGGTGGTCTCACAGTGTTCTCTGTCCATGATCCCGTGTGGCCACCCAGGGGAGGCCTATGCAGGAGCAGGTGGCAACTCTTCAGGTGGTGTCCAAGGCCTCCATCCCTGGAGCTTCCAGTGGGAGACAACCCAGGAGGGAAGAGGTTGGAGAGTTGCCGTGGGTGTTCTGTGACCCTTAACTAGGAAAGTGTAAAGGAGCAGCAGGCGAGGTCACCGGGACAGGAGGCAGCCCACGGAGACCCCGCGCAGACCCGCCGCACAGACCCGCCGTGCCTTGTTGGTTGCGTTGCTTCAAACGTCGTCCCCTTGGCCAGGCTCCCAACTGCAGCTGGTACGGCAGGAGTTTAGAACGGAGACCAGCCAGGTGACAGGAGTTTAGAACGGAGACCAGCCAGGTGACAGGAGTTTAGAATGGAGACCAGCCAGGTGACAGCTCTGCGTTTAGTCCTTCCGTCTAACCTCAGCGCATCCAAAGCCTCGGCTGTCTGTGCAGCAAGGGTGGGACAGGGTCTCCCTGTAGCCCAGGCTGGCCTGGAACTCACAGAGATCTGCCTGCCTCAGAAAACAAAGTTCTGTTGGGTTGTCTGCCAGGGAGGGATCCACCTGGCACAGGTGCAGTTCCCTTGCCTGAGGAGGATTTGCTCACAGGACCTGAGGGGGCGGGATTGGGGGAAGCTTCTTGTGGCTGTGTTGGCTGCAGGCAGCACCCGAGGGCTTTGGGAGCGGTGCAGTCCCTTTGGACACTGAAGCGCAGATTCACACAGGTGTGACTGCTGCGGCACAGGAAGTGAGTGTTTCCATAGCTGCTTGACCTCAGGGGCTGGTGCCAGGTCTGCCCCTGTGTCACGGCACATGGAGCTGCCTCCCTCCCCCTGGAAGCGGAACTGTCAGGTCACCCCTGGGTGGGACCACTCCTGCCCGCTGATGACGGGCCAGTCTCAAGGAGCCAGCACCGAAGAGCCGTGCCTTAAAGGACATTGTCATCACTGCTGGGGCGGAGAAGTCGTCTGCCTGACGCTCTCCCAGCCCCCTCCTCCTGGGTGCTGATTCCCTTTGGCCATTTACAAGTGTCTGAAAGTGCTAGGCTGTAGTCTCCAGTGAGACAGCCGATCCTTCCTGTGGTGGTGAGCGGGCATAGAAAGAACTCTGTCCCCGTTCCTCCTGCCTGCCTTTGCCTCAGAGCTCAGCCATCCCACCTCAGAGAGGCCGTGGGAGATCTCAGTCTAGCTCAGTGTGAGAGCCAAGGAAGAAAACAGCTTGCCCAGCTGCCTCAGCGGGGTCAGGTCTGTCAGTCAACGGTCAGCTAGCCCTCCTCTCTCCACCTGTCTGTCATCTGTGTCATTGTTTGTATCTTCCCATCCATCTGCCAGCTGTCAGTCATCTTCTACCGTTTGTCTTTGTTTAGGGTTTTTCCATTTTTGTTTTGTGGTACTGGGGATTGAACTGGACTTACACAAGCTAGGCAAGCACTCTACCACTACGCCACATCCTTAGCCCTTTTTTAATTTTTGTTTTGGGGACAGTGAATGAATTTGCAATCCTCCCTCCTCAGCCTCCTGAGTGGTGGGGATTACAGGCCTGTACTGCCAGGCCCCACAAGAGACGGCATGCTTCTAGGTGACTGATGGCCATGTGCTTTGTGGAGAGGGGGCTGGCGTGTAAAGACCAATCTGAGCTGTCATTTTTGGAGATGGAATGGGTAGTTACAAGAGGGCGAAAAATGCTGTTTTCTGTTTGCTTAACAAGTAGAATCTTTCATCTTCTGTGGCGCAGTGACAGAACGTAATAACTCTTGTAGCTGTGCTCTGTGGTCTGTCCAGAGAGCAGCTGGCCATCAGTAGAGCCCGTGCTGGCTTTGGAGCTTGCGGAGTGAGCCAAGCCACAGGTGTCATTCCCAATCCAGAAAAGGCTGCTTTCGAAGGAAGGGAGGCGCGTAGGGTTCACAGGGGGTTGAGTATCATGATGGCCAACACCAGCGAGCTACACGACTTCCTAGGAAGCAACCACGGGGCCCATGTGCCCATCTGCACCTCACATGTGCTGAGGGAAGCCTGGGCTCCGGCCGTGCTGGTCTCTTGGTGACTGTGGCATTTCCAACTTGTGCCCCAGAAGACAGGTGAAGAGCATGTCTGAGGCATGGGAACTTCAGAAAGAATGCTCTAGCCCCACTGCTCAGGCTGAACCTGCCACCCACCCGTGGCAGCCCTCAGGCAGGCAGACTGCTGGCGGAGCCAGGGTCCTCACGTTCCCCCGTCTGCTGCAAGGATCCAGTGCGAGGCTGGTCCTCAAAGGCAGGTTGTGTTTATGTGGTGGGCCTCTCCCTGCTGCCTCCGCTGGTTCTTAGGTATTTGTGGCCAACTGCAAACAGGTAGGGCCCTGGGTGGTGTTGTGTGGAAGCACCACAGACTGGCACTGAGCTTCGTAAGGTGGCTTGATGGCCCACTGTAGTCACACTCAGTGTCAGACTTGCTCTGTGTGCTGAGGGACGAGGGATGTTCTTCCAATGGGCATGTTAAAGACCCCATCTTACCCACAGGCACAGAGTGGGCAGGGTGGAGGCAGAGGCCCCCAGTGATCGGAGAATTGCCCTCGACCTGCATTGATCCCCGTGACCAGGAGTCTTTTCTGGGTCGGAGGCCCTCGCAGGGGCCCAGCTGCTTCCTACTTGCTGGGGCCTCTAGGAAGACAGAGGCCATCCTGTTGTCAACACGGCATAGAAGGGGATAATCCGGCCTACTTTACAGTGTCCAGATTTCATTTAGGCCAGGGGGAGGGGTCAGAGCTGCAGATGGGTGGATTTCTGCTTAAACCTGGAGTCCAGGCCAGCCCAGGCAACATGGTGAGACCCTGTCTCAAAACAGAATTTAAGATCTGACTGTGGCTCTTGCTCAGTGGGGCCACAGCTCGGTAGTGGAATGCTTTCTAGCCCGTGTGGGGCCCTGGGATCCATCCCCAGCATCACAAAATAAAAATACAGGGGAGTGTCATCTCCCAGGGCTGAGCTGGACCATTCAGTATTTTGCCCATCTGGGCACCATGGTATGTGGTCAGACTTCTCCTGGAGTGTGTGGACATAGGCTGCTGTGCAGGTCTGCCCCTTGGGACGCCTAAGACTAGCCAGGACTGCCTTCTTTTCCAGGTCAGCTGTGAGATGCTTGACAAGATCCCCATACTCCGGAGCCTTTGTGAGCGGGAGAAGCAGGCTGGGAAGGACGTGGCTCTCGCAGCCGAGCCCAGCGGCCAGCGCCCAGCACCGCGCACAGGCAGGAGACCCTGGGGTGCGCCCCGGTGGCAAAGGGGTTCTGCGGGAAGGCCTCGTAGCCCACCGCAGGAGGAGGACGCTCAGCTGGCCGCCACCGTGTGTGTGGGGAACCTGCCCCGTGACGCCCGCATGAGCGAGCTGAAGAGAGCCCTCCTGTGGCTGGGGGCGGCACCCGCCAGCCTCACCTGGCAGGAACCCCAGCGCAGGGCCATCTTGCACTACCCAGACCCGGCGGCCGCCCGGCAGGCCGTCAGCTGCTTACAGGGCCTCCGCCTAGGCGCCAACACCTTGAGGGTGTACTGGGGCGGCCGAGGGACACGTGTCCTGGTGGGTGGCCCTCAGCAGCAGAGCCATCCCCACCATCCCTGGGGCTTTTGACTGACGGCTTGCCCCTGCTGCTCCCTCGGAACTAGGGAGCCTGCGTGGCCATGCGCTGGGCCCGTTGCTGCGTGGGGCACGTCGGTGCTCTGGACTCTGTGAGCTTTGTCCATTTGGTTCTGGGTCTTCTGGGAATTGAGCCCACGTGTGGTGTTCTCTGGGGCAGAGGGATTAGGCACTAAGCAAGGGGTGACCTCATTTAGGATTGGGGAACACAGCCCCGTGGAGGGGGAGGGAAGGCAGGGGTGGGGACAGGGCTGGTGGTGCAGTCAGAAAAGCGATTGTGATCCTGGCATGATAGGAAGTGGGGGCGCATATTGTGTCCAGAGCTCCAACCCCAGGTCTGTCCTTGAAAACCCTGCCCCACACACATGCCTGGTCATGGTGGCCCAGCCTGCCTGGTGTTCTGTGAAGCCAGTGGGTGGTGCTGTCACCTGGGGAAGGGCGAGGGGGTGGGGCTCTGCTTTCCCTGTATAACCCTGGTGTGGACCCTGAGCAAAAGTCAACATGAGCATTGAGTTGAGGGTCTGCCTTCCTCAAGACTGCATTCCTCAGAAGTTTCTAGATTTTCCCAGTGGGTCTTCCAGGGTATGTGTTAGCTGGTCCCTGTGCCCCTCGAGGGCTTGCAGGCCTTGCTCACACGTTAAAGACCACACGCTCTGGGGGAGCTCAGTCTCAGTAGGACTGTTTCTCCCATCCTTAGACTTGCTGAGTAGAGACCTAACAAGCTGTCCCAGTGCTGTGACCAGTGGCGGGGAAGCTGCCCACGAGCTGCAAGCGGTGGCTCCTGCCGTGTGGACTGGCCTCCCGCTGCCCGGCCCAGCGCAGCCACCTCTCCACCTTCATCGCCTTTGCTCTCCTGGCTCCTCCCCCGCCTTCTGGGTTGTCATCCGGGTCCGTCCTGTGTCCCCTCACCCTCTGCTCGCCCTCCCCCAGTCCCTCCACCCCTGCTGTCTCACCAGCTCTAGGTTCTCACCTCCTTTTGTCCCTTTCTACTTGGAGGCTCCTGGGGACAGGGTCCCGGGCTAGCAGCCCCAGCAGGGTGATCCTCCATCAGAGGTGAGACTTGGGAGACAACCTGACCCCAGATCAGCTGATCCCGACTCGAGCCAGTAACGATCAGTCGATCAGCCGAGTGGTTTGGACCTTCTGTCGTCCACAGCAGAGTAATTCAGATGTACCAGTGCACAGTTTGAGTCTAGTTTTGTTGGTTTTGTTTTGGTTTGAGGCAGGTCTCACTATGTAGCCCAGGCTGGCCTTAAACTCAAGAGCTAGGCCTGGCTCTGCTTCCTGAGTGCTGTGCTGCCACACCCGCCCAACCTGAATTGTGGGAGAGCGGTGTATGCAAACACCGGGTGCCCACAGTGTCACCCCTCCAGGGTGTCTCCTGCTCACCCTGCTCAGGCCTGTGAAAGCCAGGTTCTCTGGGTGGCAGGAGACAGAACAGACCTCTCCTGGCTGATGCAGCAAGATCCAGATCAGTTCCCATTTCCGCCATAGCCAGGGCTTTTAGAAGGGTCACAGAGACCTGTGCGTGGGCAGGACCATAGTTGATGAGCCATTCACGGTTCCTGGGGGTGAAATGGCGAAGCTTACCAGAAAGTTGGGGCAGAGCCACACCCCCAGGACCTCAGCAGTGAGGTACCTGCCAACCTATGGGTCAGCAGCTGGGAGCCAAAGGTATGGACCAGGCTTCAGGGGTGCCCTCCCTGTGGGACTGACCGGGAGCTGCTCAGGAGGCAGAGGCTGCTGGGTCTGTGAGATCAAGGCCAAAGGTCTATAGGGAGACTTGTCAAAAAAAAAAAAAAAACTTGTTTTTAACTTTGTGTGTGAGTATGTGCATGTGAGTATAGTGCCCTTAGGAGTCAGAAGAGCGTATCAGATACATGGAGCTGGAATTGCAGGGGGTTGTGAGCGGCCTGCCCAGCTGCCCAGCAGAGGTCCTTGGAACTGAACTTGGCAGCTCTTGACTGCCAAGCCATCACTCCAGCTCTTAGCATTTTCTGAAGGTAGGGGGTTTGCTCAGACCCTAGAACTTGTGTTCCTGGTTGCCGTGGCGGCTGGGTGGTCCCTGCATGAGCTGAAGGCCTTGCCTCGTGCCTGCTCACTGTTTTTCTTTACGTTTGGTTCTGGTGCTGTGGTGTGCAGGTTGGTAACTTGCCAGAGTCCGTTCCCTTCTGCCGTTTGGGCCCAGAGAGCAAACATGCCATGAGGCCTGACAACCAGTGCTTTCACCTGCTGAGCTATCTTGCAGTCCATCTACTCCCAGGACCACACAGCAGGGGCATCTCCTGGCGTCTCCTAGCCAGTGTCCTAGTACTGAGATGGGTCAACAGGACAGACACCAGGAGGGGTTTCCACGTAAGGGGGAAGCTGTAGCCTTACAGGTCCCCAGGGCTTGTAACCCTGCTGGGCCGAGTGGCTGTGACACTTCTGTAGGAGGTCAAGAGTAAGCCTGGGGCAGAGTGTGTGCCTTGGAAACCCTCTTTGTATCTCGTTTTTCTAAACTTGAGGGCAATTTTACTAAGGTTTGAAAGAAAAAACAGCAAGCCCTGTGTCTCGAGGGCTGTCTGGAGAGGGAAGATGATGGATTGCAGACTCATGCCACACCATTTGGATTAAGCTAACATGGAGGTCAGTCGTGGAAGAGCATGTGCATGGCAGGAGGGAAGCCTTAGAGAGGCCAAAGTGTTAGCAAAAACATGCTTGGAAAAGTTACACTTCTGAGTGACGGGAAAAAATGGACCAACTTCTGTAGGAACTAGGGACAGGAATCCCACTAACGGGGAGATTGCCCCATTTCTTTACTGCAGCCTTCCTGAAGGGTCCCTTGGCCAGGTGACTGACCAGCCCTAACTTTTGGGTAAATTGGAATGCTAGGTCTCCACTCTAGCCAGAGAAATGGCTCCTTTAGGGACCTGTCTGCTGCCCTGATCACGGCTACTCCAAAAAGTCATACCCACTTCAAAAAGGGACCCTGAAATCACCCAGGAGATGAGCTGAGACAGGAACAGATACAGTTCACCTTCACCGTGAAGACTAGAGACCGGGCTCGGAACCTCACCAGAGGGGCTGTTGTCTGAACTGGAGTCTCAGGCACAGCCTCCAGGCAGGGGCTGGTTGCTCCCCCTGGAGAACCAAGGACATGCCCAGAACGATGTTAGGGTCTCTGCCCTGACGTACCTGTCTAACTTCTGCCTCTTATCCCTCTGAAGAGGTAACCCCAAGTACCATTAGGGATTGGGGTGCACATCTATCTGGCCTCTTCAAGTAGTGGGTGATCAAGTATAGTGGTGGGGTACCCTTCCAGAGGTGGGGCCCCCGAGGCGTATCTGGGTTTTATGTAACAGGTGGAGGGAGGTGAGGGAGCCTGACTGGAGCCTGACTAGGCGGTGATGGTGGAAGGAGTGTGTGCAAAGGCTGAGCTCTGCCAACTCTAGCAGAGAACGGGGAAGCCAGCACAGCGGACATGTTTAATTGCACAAATGAAGGTCCGCCCATTGGGCTCTGTGTTTTTTCTGCCTGTGGCCTTCGAGGCTGGACTGGAGAACAAACCCAGGATCCACTTTGCAGCAAGTTGATGGCTGGAGTGATGAATTACGATGCGGGGCCCTCCTAGATGCCCTCTAGGGGGACATCTGTTGTGGTTTTAAGCTCAGAACAATAGTCTATTGGCTGCAGTAGACTGGTGTGATCAGAAACCTGGGAACTGTTGGTTCAGCAGGTTGTTTGCATTGGAGACCACCACACCCTTGTAAAGCCAAGGCCTGCAGTGGAGACCTAGTTGTTCAGCACAGATCCAAGTGACTACTAGTGTCAGATCGTCTGCGGTGACGGCAGGAAACGTTACATTTGTCTCCTGAAAGCGGTTCCTGCGGTTCCTGGGCCAGGCCTCGGTGTGCTGCTCACACAGGTGAATGATGAGTCCAGCAGCCTGGTTGGAAGCACAGGTGTCACCTTGAGAAGTGTTAGAAATAAAAATCCAGGGTCCGAGGATCCCACCAGTACCACACAAGGTGCAGGTGGGCAAAGCAAGAGAGAGTAACAGCCAGGCAGATTGCCTTGAGAAGTGTTAGAAATAAAGTCCAGGGTCCGAGGATCCCACCAGTTCCACACAAGGTGCAGGTGGGCAAAGCAAGAGAGAGTAACAGCCAGGCAGATTGTGCTTCTGCAGAAGGGTGACCTGTGTGACCGGTCAGATCCACGTGACACGGAAGCTTCGGGGACTTTGACCCCTAACACGAGACCTGTTTCCCTGTTGGCTGGGGTCCAACCTCACAGTCTGGCTAGTTTAAAAGAATCGACAGGAAGGCATCAGGGCCTTAAAGTTTTGCAGGGTGTGGTGGGATTAAAAGATTAGAATTCCTTGAGCCGAATTCCAAGTTTTAGAGGGTTTGAAAGACCAATACCTACTGTTTCTTAATTTGCCAATGACAACTGACCCCAAGAGGAGGTGGCTGCCCTTCCTGTCCCATACCAGTCCTGGTGGAGCCAGGCCCGATCAAGGTCACTGGAAGCCCCAGGAGAGGCCAGAGCAGCTGCAGTTTTGGAGAGAGTTGGTGGCTTGATCCGGGAGCAGGGAACCAACAAGTGAGTCTAGGGGTAAATCGGGGAGGCATGTCTGTCCATCAGGCACCCACAGCAGACATGGATGATCCCAGAAGTCTCAGTGGCCGCAGCCAATGAAAACATCACACATGAGAAGGCACAGGCCTAATCCTGCATGGCTTGAAGCAGAGCTTTGTCTTGTAGGATGACATTCTTGTACATCAGTTTCCTGGCCTCCCTGTCCTGGGGCCTGACCCCCCCACCCCCACCGGTCCCGGGTCCTGGGTCCCGGGCAGGTGCCTGGCCTGTGTATGGTGCTGTTTCCAAGACTGTTCCCAGCCCAGCTCCAGCAGCGGTGACCTCCTTTGTGTGGACTCCAGGCCGTGCAAAGCCGGTCTTGCAGGGAAGCCCACGTATAAAGGCAGAAGCATGGATAGTGCCCACCCCAAGCTCCCCAGTATTCCCTAGTGGGCACTACCCACCTGACCTTCACATCTCTACTCCCCCATCACCATGCACAATAGCTCACCTTTCCTGAAGACTTTCCCAAAGCTCCTCAGTCCTCCCCACCAAGAGCCAACCCCCCCACCCCCAGCCAAAGTTACACCCTGTTGGTGTATGCCTTGAGGAACCGGCCCCATGCAGTGATGCTGCTGGGCTGCCCTGTGGGAAGAACTGCGTGCCCAGTACTGCCAGGAGGGTCCAGAGGAAGGAGCTGGGCCTGCCAAGCCAAGCCACCAGTCGTGAGATGGTGGCTTACACTGTTGTGAGCCACTAAGCTTTAAGGGAAGCTTTGGTTCCTCGGTAATCAACTGTGTGGTTTCACTAGCCATCACAGATAATGATGTTCACATGTAAATCACACAATGTGTAGGTTGACATTTCTACCGGAGACAGATCACGTGAGTAGACATGGAACCATACTTCCCATAACCCTCATCACCACATGACCTTCTTCACCAGCAGAGTGTAACTTTGGCTGGGGGTAGGGGGTTGGCTTTTGGCGGGGAGGGCTGAGGAGCGTTGGGAAAGTCCTCAGGAAAGCTGAGCTATTGTGCATTGGGATGGGGGAGTTGAGAGTGTGATGGTCAGGTGGGTAGTGCCCGCTAGAGAATACTGGGGAGCTTGTGGCACTGCTCACCACAGGTAGCTGAGGTCCGGGAGGCCAGCTAGAGTGCTCTCACCCCCAGCAAGTAGGGTCAAGCCAGGGCTGTTTTGGAGGCAAGGAAGCCAGCCTCCGCTGTGAGGTGGTTTCTGTCTCCCACAGCAGTGGGGACATGGACTCAGCAACAAGCCTTCTCTGCCTAATGTCACAGGGTCTTATGGTGGGTGTTGGGGTTGCCCACTCCGCTGGGCCTGTACTACACCCTTTAGTCTAATTGTCACATCACGAGGTCCTCAGCCCTGCCACTCTGGAGCTCCAATAGGCCGAATCTGATCTGTTGTAGAGAAAACTGCAGGCTTAGGACAGCTTGCTCTCTGAGCATGGCAAAGCTGCCCGTCCCAAGGACACAGGAGCCCCTCCTTCCTCTCCTCTGCTGCCAACCCCAGAGAGTCCAGGTCACCCTGCCAGTCTCAGCAATCACCCATGGTTTCCACTAGGGACTGCTATGAGGATGCTCAGACAAGCAGACTTTTAAGTAAGGAGCCACACTCCTGCGGTGTCTCGTGGGGCAGAGCTGCCTTCTCTGAATGGAGCCCTTTATGTCCCAGGGCCGTAAATCATGAAGGTTAAAACGAGAGCTGACATGAGCTGTGCAGTGTGGACATGCTGCACTTCAGAGCTTGGAAGCAGTGAGCACCTGCCTTGAAGTGCTGAGCTGTGGGCAAGTTCAACGTGACTGGCAGGGACAGGACAGGACCCCCTAAAGGGTCTATGCAAGCAGACAGTCGCACCCCTACTTTCCAGATACGGTTCCCAGCCCCACTGGGTGGGAAAAGGCCGTTCCGGGGGGTGGGGGCGCAACACTGACCTGCTCATCTGACCATAGGCAGGTCCTCAGGGCCAACTGGGAACCACAGCAGCTTGACAGAACACAGCGTCTAGTGGTTGGACAACTCCATGTGGAAGCCACACACAGCAGGGTTTGCAGGGTGCTCTGGCTGTGTGGCCTCAGGCAGAGGGCTCACCCTCTCTGTGCCTGTGCTGCTTCAGAGGTCGCCTTTGAGTCTCACAGCGTGCTTCCTACATCACCCATGTGTCACAGAGAAGAGGAGGCTTACCTGTCAATACCACAAAGACAGGAAGAAGTGGAGTCAGGACTAGATCCCCCCCAGAGGGTGGGGGGTGAAGGCCCAGTGCAGCCTCCATTTGCCTCTCCTGAGGATCTCAGTTTGCAGAGGGATGTGCCCAGGGAACACAGCTGCCTGGGGTGGGGCTTGGAGTGATTTCTATTGTCTTTTCACTTTTCTGAATTTCTTTATAAAAAAAAAAAAAGCCCTATTGTTTGTGGAATTAGGAAGACTTAGTGTGAATCAGCAACAACACAACAAAAGCCACCTTCTGTGAACTGAGGTCGTAGGTCTGAAGTGGAGTCCATTCATGTGGACACTACTACCTGCTGGGTGGTGAAACCAGTTATCCTTGGTGGGATTTTTTTTGTTATTCTTGTTCTAGGAGGAATTACAGGCAATGGGCAGCAGGTGGCGCTGTCTCCTCATGGGACCCAGCCAGGTGCTTTGGGTTTCAAACCTCTTTAAGGGGATCCACAGACCCCAGCGCTCTTCCTAAGTTGACACCATGGTGAGGAGTCCTGGGAGATGAGCAGGATCCTGCGCCCTGGCCATACCCGCTCCCTTGCCCTCCTGAGGCTGACCCCCGTGACTCCATGTTATTGACTTCCTACTTTGCACACTGGCCCAGCTCTCTGCCCCCAGGAGCTGGAGACTCTGCTGGGGGTCCAGTGCCAGAAACCCAGAGACACCACCTACCCGTTTATGACTCCCTTTGGAGAATATTTCCAATGAAAGAAGTTTTATCCTTTTTCAGGACCTCTGAGAACATGGCCTACTTCCATATAGCCATGACCTGGATGGTCAGGGAACATGGGGTCCCTGCCTCCTTTCTGGTGTGATGTCACTGGTTTTAATAAGATTCTCAGAAGCTTATCACACTGTCCCTCCAAGCTCAGAAACACCCCCCTCCCCCACTGTCCTCAGCCACTTTCATGTCACTGTGAGGGCACAGAAGAAAGACACCGCAGAGGGACATGCTCTGGGCCCATTGTCTGACCCGACCAGGCAAACAGCCACTGGAGGAGCTGTACAGCTACTGTGGTCTGGTCGGCTTTTGGCCCCACTCAGACTGCTTCCCTCAGCGTGCTTAGGTGACTCTGGGTGGCGTCTCTTCAGGAATCCACCTGAATATATACCGTGGGGACAGCTGCAAGGAGAGCCTAGCAGATGCAGGCCTCAGGACCCAGTGCCTGCTCTGGACAGGATGAGTGGGTTCTCCCAGATGGCAGTTTCTCTCTTCTGGCCAGCCAGGTGACCGAGGGCCCAGACCCATCAGCCTGTAGTGAGTGACTGTGGACAGTCTGTCCTCTGTGAATGACTTCAATGGCAAGCGTTCAGGGGTGCTCAGTGCAGCCCTTGTAGGCGTTCAGTGTGGGTAGACAGAGCAGCTGGGGCTGCTCTTTGTCCATTCTGGTCGTATTTTATGCTTGCAAGTTTGGTCCTCCTCCCTGGGCTGTCCATCCACCAAAATAGAACTGTGAGGGTGGGGATGGATAGGAGGCATCTAAGAGGGGGGGCCTGGGGTTCAGGGTCCAGCACAGGAAAAGAGGAGGTGGGGGGAGGAAGGGGAGGAGGGGGAGGAAGGTAGTTGCAACACAGTGAAATACTGTTTCTGAAGCATGGATCACTATTTTTGTTCCTTTGGTAAGTCATAATTAATCAGTCTCAGCCTCAGCAATGATGGAATGCTTTGCCAAGACTTTGTGATACCATAA